AGCCTCCCCCTCACCTTGTAGAGTGATGAGTTTCTTCACAGCAGCAGTACTGTCCATGCCCCCCCTCCCCTAAACACACACAGTGACACCCTCCAGCCTCCCCCTCACCTTGTAGAGTGATGAGTTTCTTCACAGCAGCAGTACTGTCCATGCCCCCCCTCCCCTAAACACACACAGTGACACCCTCCAGCCTCCCCCTCACCTTGTAGAGTGATGAGTTTCTTCACAGCAGCAGCACTGTCCATGGCGGCTCCCCCGCCCCCTCCCCTGTCAGACCCTCCCTCTCCTGGCATGGGGGCGTGGCCTGACGGGACTTTAGCCCCGCCCCCTTGTCCCAGCAGCTGCATCAGCTCCATCCCTGCGCTCTCCGTGGCCCCGGCCGGTGACCTTGACCCGTGACCCGTCGCTGGGCTGGCCTCGGGGGGCACGCCTCCTGCCTGTGGGAGACAGATACAACATGGGGGGAGGGGAGGGGTGTAAGTGAGTGTTATGGTCCTCTCAGCACAGTTTAGGTTAGTAATGAGAAAGAATCTTCTATCTTGTCAAAAGCAGGCACATGTCCTTAGACAGGGGATATAACTGGCGTTCTCTTTTTAAATTTAGGTGTTTCTTACGCCCCCACAGACATAACTTAGATAATTTAGAAAGCGGGTGTAAGTGAGTGTTACGGTCCTCTCAGCACAGTTTAGGTTAGTAACGAAACAGAATCTTCTATCTTATCATAAGAAGGCATATGTCCTTAGACAGGAGAGGTAACTGCCACTTTCTCTACTTTATATGTAGGCGCTACTTACGTCCTCAGAGACACAACTTAGATTATTTAGGAGGCGGGCTTCTGACCCTGCCTGTCAGGGTTAACCCGGGCTGAGAAGCAAGAAAGACAGAGAGACACTCGATAAAAATTCTTCTGACTCGGGAATGGAACTCAGGCCTCCCATGTGCGACGGCAAAGTGCCTAACTGCAACACCACAGGCACCGGTTTAAAATGTTCTCAATTAGAAGAAAGTGAAGCATTCTGTCACATAAAACTTTGGCTACAGGACATTTCGAACGGATAGGCTACCACACACACATACACAACGTCCCGCCTCTACAGCATGAGACAAGGACTCGAACCCTTACCTTGAGCTTGTGCTCCTCCAGATGCTGGCGCTCTATCTCCTCCACCGTCTTGGAAGAGATCAGTTTGAGGATGGGGTGCCTGTAGTCGGGGACTGCCCCGCCCCCTCCCCCCGCCGGGCCCTCCAGCAACCCCCGCACGCCGCCTCTTCTGTCATGGGCCTGTGCCTCCACCTCTGCCACAGATAGCGACCTGCAGGGGATAAACATGCAACATATTGCTCCAGGAAATGGTGAGAGAGTCACATAGAGTGTATGACAAGCCACATATTGCTCCAGGAAAAGGTGAGAGAGTCACATAGAGTGTATGACAAGCCACATATTGCTCCAGGAAAAGGTGAGAGAGTCACATAGAGTGTACGACAAGACACATATTGCTCCAGGAAATAAAGATATAACTGACATATTGCTCCAGGAAATACAGAGATAACTGACATATTGCCCCAGAAAATACAGAGATATAACTGACATATTGCCCCAGAAAATACAAAGATATAACTGACTGACATATCGCTCCAGGAAATGGTGACACAGTCACA